GCACGTATTTTCCACTTTTCATAACAAGTTGGAGCCTAGAGTTGATGGACTCCAGAGATTTTTTCGTCTTTTTTGCGGCCACCATCTTCCTGTCTTAGGTGCGGATGGCCCTCAACCAGGAGCAGCCGCCAAGATGGCCGGGGAACCAGTGCTCTGCATTTTTATACCCTCAACTTGATTGAAGGCAGCAAAGTGCCTCCAGTCCTAACTTCAACTTCGCCAATACCAACAGTCCTCTCCCTCTTTTTCCTTTTTCTTAATCAAAGAGGATTTCAAGCCTCACTCACTAGGACAATAATGATGGCTCTGATGGATATGGGCAGTTGAGGAGGGCATGTTGTGGGTAGCGAGGATGAGGATGAAAAAAGAGGAGTGTGGCCTTAGTCATGACCTTGAAGTGACCGTAAGGTATACAAATTAAAATATATATATATGTATGTATATGTATATGTATATGTATATGTATATGTATATGTATATATATAGTGGTACCTGGACTGGAGAGAGGTTTTGTGAGAGGAAATGGATTTAGAGACAGATCCGGTGTGGCTGCAAGCTCTTCCAGCTGGTGTTTGAGTCTCACCAGAGCCCTCCCCTGCCTCTTGTCCCCAGGTTGCCTACACAGAACGTTACCAATATGGAGAGGACCTTGACTCCCCTTCGGTCAACCTGATCCGCTGCTCACATCTGGAGGCCCGGAGCCCCAGCCAGAGCCTGCTGGATGAGCCTGACGAGGAGGTGCCCAATGCTGCACCTTCCACATCTCAGAGACGTCAGGAGGAGGCCTTTGAGAGCATGGGCAAGACCTGGCTTTCCAACGACTCCCTGCAAAAGAATGTGTCTTTGGGGCAGGACGTTGGCGCCACCTCTATGAATGTGAAGTTGAACGCCCCGTCCTCCGATATGACTCTGCCAGCCAGGACCCACACCATCATCCTGGACTTCTCCTTGGTGCACTATGTGGACTATCAGGGCTTGGTCGTACTGAGGCAGGTGAGTCCTGAGGAGGTGGGGTCACGGTCTCTGATGCTTCCTGCTGCCCATGCCATCCCCAAGTAACCCCGATAGACCGGCATGCATTAGCTGCTGAGTGATCAATTGCAAAGTTGTCAGAAACTTGGACACCACACTAGAGGCGGTATGAGGTCAATCAGTAAAATGAAAATGAGCTGCCTCTAGCTTGTTGAACTGCAGGTGGTTGAACAGGTGTGGACCATTTTATTGTTTCTCATGGGAATGAGAAAAAAAAAAAAAAAACAGGAAACTGAACATTACTGAAGCAGCCATCTGTGCTACATCCACTGTGTGATTCCTGGTACATCCTTCTGGACGTGCTGCACAGGCTCAAGTGCCCCAGAAACAAGTGTGCCAGGACTCCTCCACTGTTTGGTGGCTCTGAAGCAGGCACTGTAAGAGGCTCTGGGCAGGGCTGTACTCAGATTTGAGGGAGTTGGGACACCTCTCACCTGGGCTGCCTGCCCAGAACCGGCAGGCTCCTCCACACCTTCCCCTTCACTCCCTGCAGCTTTAGGTGAAAAACGACAGGGAGGATGATTTTCAATCAGAACTTCTGTCCCCAGGTCCTGATTTCTACTCTTGAATTCTTGGGCGGTTTTCCATCCTACTTTGGACATTTCAGGGGCACAATTAACCACGATGGTTTCATTGCGTATTTTGGCCCAGCCAGTGAGTCTGTACTGAAGCCACTCTGACTGCTGCCCGTTCGCTTCCCAGTGCTGAGCACACCCACCCTTTTCTGAGATATGCTCCTTTGCTTGGTCTGCCTTCTTTTCTACCCCTGGATCCTCTGGTGCTTATCTATCCCTAAAAGACTGTGATTGTCAATTAAGTGAGTCAGGCTCTGAGGCCTGGAAGGGGGCTTTCCACTGTGGGAGAAGCCCGGCTGCCAACCCTGAACACCTGCACTCTGTCCTGGCTTTGTGGCTGTCCACCCGACAGGACTACTAAATAGCACTGATCTCTGTTTCCTCACCTGTAGGAGGAGGGCGAGCTTTGGAAGAGGTTAGCACCGAGACCCTTCCCATCCATTAAGTTCCCCGCCCACTTGCGCCATTTTCAGACCCAAGCAGTTGGGTCATCTCTTGTCTTAGAAGCTTTTTTATCCTAGGTCATTCCTTCCATTGAGCTGTTGTCTCTTTCCAATCATCTTACATTTCACATTAGAATGCCCACTTACATGGATGTGCAGCCTCTCCTTTAACTCTCATATTAGGCCTGTTTTCTGCTGAGCCTGAGGCTCACAACCAAAGGGGTCTGTTTGGTTTTTGAACTCTGGCAGCATCTGACATCATCTTGCTCTTTCCCCCTTCACCATACCATCCTGTCTTGTCTCCTTTTGCGTTCCATATATTTTGGTCCTTGACAAGACATGGCCTGTGTGGGTGACTTTCTGTTCCAGTCCCATGGGGACCATGCTGGACATCTTTACTTTTCAGCTTTGTGGTGTCTTCATTCCCTTTGGAAGTGTTCTGTGCAGACCTTTATTAGAGGAATTCTTTACTTTTTTTTTTTTTAATTTTATTTATTTATGTGGGGGGGGGTGGCCAGCTCAGCCCACCAGGGGGCGGGGCCGGCTGGCATGTGGTGCTGGGGGATTGAACCGCGGTCCCTGTGCTTTGCTAAGCTTGTTCTAAG